CCTCCTGCTCAGAGCCAAACAGGACCACAGCCAGAGGGCCAAAGCTGAGCAAAGTCCCTTCTGTTCAACAGAATAATCAATTCCATGTCCTCTAATGTTACAACCCTCCAAGAACAAGATGGGACCTTTTAATTAACTTTTTWAAACTTTTTCAACTTGTCTTTAAGTAAAAATGTCAGCATGTAATTTTTTGAGTATAAGTTGGGGATCGGTCTCAGCAACTACCACACCAATTGTTAGCCCAATAACTGATTGAGTTATAGTATTTTTGTGTTTGCTRAGGTTGCTCAGTTTTGGCGGGGATCATAAACTTTTTAATTCTATCAGGTTTAGCCCAGTTTTAAACATCTGTGAAGAATGTAAATGTTGTTCAGACATATTTTCAACAGTATTGTGTCCTGATGCATCTCAGTAATAATGGTTTTGTGGTATACTCTGCTATTGAAATATGGTGATGGTATTTAAAAATTACAACGGTATATTAACCCTCTGGAGCCTGGTCACATGACCTATTTAATTGCTCAAGCCCAGAGGTGTCCAAAGTCTGGCCCGTGGGCCAAAACTGGCCTGCCAAGCCATTTGATTTGGTCCACTAGCAGCTGCCATTGTTTCTAGGTTGTAACCTGTCGTCCTATGTAGAAACACTTTACCACCTAAAGTCATTGCATCCGTTGGCCCAATGTAACACATTCTCACCCCCGATTCATCACATATTAACGCTTGGTCCAGGTTCCCTTGGCGTCTGGTTTTGACGCATCAGGTAACCCCCTTCTCGTCAGTTTTTGACGCACGGGGCTTTTACGGGTTCATGCCACATAGGATTTTTGGTTGGGGTCCGTGGTTAATAGAGGAATGCTGGTTAATTTTGGGTAGTGAGGTCAAGGATAGGATGTCTTGGATAATTGAGTTCGGGTTTTGGGACGGTTAGTTGTCATGCATTTTCTACACTTTTCAAAAATACGACAGCAAGCTGCTCCTCCTTGTTCTCATCTCATCAGTACCTGATGTGAGGGGGTTACCTGACACGTCAAAACTGAACGCAGAGGGAACCTGGAACAAGCATCAATATGTGACGAATCGGGAGGGAGAATGGATCGCTCAATGACTGTACAGGGGTTGTAGTGCAGAGAGTCAAAAACCTGGGCCACCGCACTGGCTGCTAGCTTAACCATTAAAATAAAATGACTTCACTTTAGAAATATTTGTATTTCATGTATTACCTTATTGAATTTGGCCCGCAGCCCGCGAATAGATTTTAATTTTGGCCCTCTAGGAGAAAAAGTTTGGGCACCCCTGCTCTAGCCAGAACAACACACCTTTTCTGAGACTCTTCTTTCAATTTGTGTCAAGACTATAAACTTCAAACTTTGTTTATGTTGTGTTGACAGRCCAAATAAAACCAGAGTATGATAAACAGTATGCACCACTTTTTTTTCCTGAACATGGACGTCCTRTTCTCTTGAGCTGAAAGAATATAACCCCCTCCCCAAACCCCTTTCTGATGTGAAAGTTGAATGAAACAGCAAGAGCAGGAGACAGTAACTTAACATGCCACAAAACATACACCCCACGTGCCCTGCCCCTTTCCACCCTGGCCTGGTAATACCTAATGCCGTGGTTTTATCTAAAGATAAGTCAGTATGAAAAAGATCTATCCTGCCCAACACTATTTTCAACCCAAAACAGATTGTTAGACGATCTCTGTTGTGTTGATTGATGARTACTCATAAAAGTCAACAAATACACCACTCACTTGTTGGGTYTTGTTTCAGCTGTGGAGTGATTTGTGTTAAATAAAATAACTCGGTCATGATCTGGATCTCCTCCTCAGGCTAAAGTAGAACAGATCTAAAGAAATATGCTCATTTACTCTTTTAAACACCCCCTCCAGGAATTCATTGAACAACTAAAATCTCTTCTCTGTTCATTAAAATTATACTTTTAGAGTATTTTTAAATCAAAGAGATCCCTTTATGCWCTAAATTGCCTCAGATTTAACTCTACAGTTATCTCATTTAACCTGCACAGGTGTGTGAAAGTGCAGTTCATCTCCTACCTGGCTGCCAGATTCCATGGTTGTCTTTGCTCTGATATTCTAACTTTATGCATCAGTAAACTGTAAATGTTGGAGCAAACTTGGTCCTGACCCTCCGCTTTGATGTCATCCCTCCTTCAAGCCTCTGCTGTATGAGYCTTTTGTTGTTCTGCAGGGTCCAAMGTTGGTGTTGACTTTGTGAAAAGAAGAGGAGAAAAAGAAAAGACRTGTCATTGTGGTAAAAACTGAAGAGGTGTTTAAGTTACATAAGGCGATGGATGACATGTGAGCCTGAATGGTTGTTTTTTCTCTGGTTTGTGATCAAACGTTGAGCAGAAAAGCACAAAGACTTGTTGCTGTAAACAAATGGCATTAAAGACGTMCGGGAAGCCACGACTCAGTATGGATGAGTCACAGATGGATGTTAGAAGGAGATGAAGAATGAGAAATAAAAACTGGAGTCTGTGTGAAAGAAGTCTAAAAGATATGAAGAAATAAGGTCTTGAATTGTGGCTTTGTTATTAGTCGGTGTATGTGTGTGTTTGGGGGGGGGTTCGGCTTTGGTGACATTTGGAGGCAATTTTAAGACAAAAGTCCTACCTTTGGAGACAAAAGTCGAGTCCCCATTTAGTTTAAATGCCATTGGTGGGTTGGGGGTTGGGTTTAGGACCAAGGTGTGAATTGAGTTTAGGTTAGTTTTAGGGTCAGGTAGGTACCTG